GCAGAGCAGTGGTAGTTAAAACTGTAATGAAAGCATCAATGTAATGCTGACTGAATGTCTGAATACATTTTATTTTGCATAAGATTCATTCAACCTTCATTTCAGCAGCTTACGATAAAGATTTAAAATGCAAACACAATTTTTCATTGGCACTAACATATTTAACATAAAATTAAATTTGACTGAACCAGTGCAGAAAGTACTCAGATCTTATTCAGAAGAAAGAGCAACAATACTCTGTTACAAGTAAAGTCCTGCATTCAAAATAACTAAAGTAAAAATGTACCAAAGTCCCAAATACCTGCAATGCAGAATGACCCATTTCAGAAGTTTGTTATTATTGATGCATTTAATGTGAAAGCATCCCTTTGATGTTGCATCTGGAAAAGGTGCCGCTAATTGTAAGTACATTATATACTAATTTATAATAATACATCATAATTTATGAGTTGATTATATTGTGTATTCATAATTTGAAAGCGGTCAGATGTTCTGCAGCGTGACACAGTGAGCACAGGGGGGCAGCACAGTGCCACGATTATCTCCAAACATTAAAGTCTGTCATGTTGCTCACTTATGGATTGTGGATCGGATAAAATTGTCAAAACTTCATGAATTAATGAAACTGACTCTCAAATTCAGAATAACTGTTGTGACAGAGAGTGTACAGTAAATAATCCAGTCAATAATTAAGAATTGAAAATCCCTCCAGTTCTTCCTTTGATTTTTCACAATAACTTTATTTTTCTGCTTGAATATTAATTTAAACCAAATTCAGTTGTCACGGAACTTATTCAGCGTATTTTTGGATACTTTATCTAGTAGTCTGTATCTGATCTTGAATTCCTTAGTCCATGTGTATGCTCGTGGGTACATGAACTGTGTGAAACATAACTATGTCTACAGTTTCCTCTGAAGGTCATGTTAAAGAAAAGCAGTGCTCCTCACTGGTTGTTCTCTTGATACATAGTTTGGGTCTCATATATAAACAATAAGCCAGCCTGTTGTTTTTCCTTCTCACCTGGGAATTTTCGCAAGTTTCCAGCCGACCAAAGGATGCAGACAGAGACTTCAAAATCATCTCCCTGTAAAATGAAACCAGTTTTTTTATTTAAAATTTTAGAAGAAATCACCTTGAGAAACAAACCTCATTCTTTTAACAATCTACATCTAATAATCTGACATCTAATAATCATAAACCACAACAAATAAAAAATCTTAAAATTGAGCTTTCTGGCTTTTTGGCTTTTGGCTTTTGTCGCAGCACTGCCTTTGATGAGGGCTTAACTTTCCTGCCAGTGTTAAAACTGGAGCGTCACATTACAGCCGGCACTCTCACGGGTTTTTGTGGTGCAGCCCAGATCGTGTGATTTGAATGTGTGGATGTTTCAGGCTGATCAGATAGAGACGGCTCCATCAGACGCATCTAAGTGTGGCGGTCACTCCTGAGCCATCAAAAGTCTCTGAGCACAGCGACATTCAGGAGACATTCACAGAGCTCACTGGGGTTGCACATTGTATGATAACAAAAGTTATTTCCTGCAAACATGACAACTGGGGGATGAGGTCCAACATAAGGGGAAATAAGGGAGCTTCTAGTGGCTGTTGCAATGGTTTAAATGAACATGTAATGCATGAGGGAAATTACTGATAAAACATTGAGAGCTGTTTTGTGTGTATGAGCAAATGTGTGCCACAGAACCACAAGTGTATGATTTCACCTCACATTTTAAAGAAAGTCACGTGACTGAAACACAAGCACAAAAGTAGACTAAACATTGGCTAGCTAACTAGGTCATTTGCTGGGTGGGATGTGTAAAATATACAGGATGGTAATGTATTCACCATATGTATTCATTTCATGTGTATGTGGCCATCTGATCCTGTTTGCTCTGAATGGCATTTGTCTGCTTGTAAACGTTTCATATTTGAGTTCAGCCCGACCTCATCAGAGGGGCAGGTCAGCAGCAGCAGTGAATAGCAAACACCTGCAGCCAGATGTGTTTCTCAGGGCTCTGTAGGGCCATGAGGCGTCTGATTGGCTTCAAGTCCAGATCTGTTTGTCACACGTGAGGCAACAGCATGAGCGAGCGACACACAGGAGATCTTTTTGATGAAGGCATAAGGAACAACAATCCAAGCATATATTGTTCCTATGTGCTCTTTTCTTTTCATAGATATAGACAGATATATGTATGGTGTAAAAAAAAGACAAGTTTCAGAAAGATGCACTGTGAAGCCCCAGGCCAAATGAGCTGTGGGCTTCCCACACACACAAATACTCCCCCAAACTATTTTGCCCAGAGCACCAAAAAACAACCATTATTTCTCAATAATAGGTCTTTTTCACTGCTGACGTTTTCACTTGTCAGAGTGTGAACAGCACAAGTACAAGCTAATAGCACTGACGATGGTATCGTCTTATTAAAGTGACGGTTTAGTCACATGCTTCGTGTGCTTCCTGATAAATGTAAGTCTGTTTCCACTTTCCACTTGGTTTTTATTTCTTTATGTACAAACTGGAAATGCACATAAAACAGATGGATAGAAACGCCAGCATGCACAAAACCATGAACCTGAAACTGAAGCAGCTAAACGGTCATCAGTCAGTCATCATTCATTTTATCATTTACACCTGCATTCTACAGTGAAATGCCAAAGTGTCAAAATACTCCATGTTTTTTATTATGTCAGTTAGTTTGTGATCATTTGTGATTAACCACAATATTTTCCTAATCTGGACAAAGCATTGTAGTTGCACAACCTTGACTCCACAGCGTTGCTATAGCGGATTGTCTGGCTGTAATCCTCATTGTTGAGAAAACCAAACTGTTAGATAGATAAACACCAGTACTGAACACATGTTGACCATATTGAAAAGTCAGAGATCACCAAAGTTCAAACAGACAATGAATGTCTGCACCAAAATGCATGGCAACGCATCCAGCATTTGTTGTTTTTACTCTGAAGAAATCAGAGTAATCTGGAGTTTTGCAGAATTTCAGATATCAGTATTTTGACTAAAAAAGCACAAAAAAGAATACAAAAGCTGGAGCCTCCTGAGGGCCTGTACCATTCCAGTGTTGTGTTCCAGTGTGTATTACCTAAAAATGTGTAATTAAACAAATTAACACAAAGTATTCGTCATCCAGACAGTCTGGGGCCTCGGGGAAGATGACTATTTTTTCTCATTTTTTAATTCAGCCTTGGTTCTGCAGATGAGTCTAATGTTACATCTGTTTTCAGAGAACATAAGAGAATGAAGACAGTTAAGAGCAAAGAAACATTGAAACTCCATCTGCAGTGGAAGATCGTGTGATACGACACAATGTGATACGAAGCTCCATAAAAGCTAATAAACTAAAAAAAGGTAAACTCACTAAGCTTGAGTGGCGTACTGGTAGTTCCATTCATTAGCTGTTAGCTGTTAGCAAAGTGAGGAGTCAGCAGGCAGTCGATGGCAATATAAAGGTAAGAAAAGGTGTTTTGAGAAAGTGCGAGTCACCGCAACCACGAGAGGACCTTGAGCATGCAGCCATAACTGGCCACCAATATATATTGAACAGTTTGCTGCAGCAGAAAGCAAGATTAGCAGTGGACAAAAACAGATATGTACACTCACTCAGTCACGGGCGCACACAGTCACACACACGGCCGGACACATAACCTCTGCCCAGGCTTACACCTGGCGGAGATAACAAATGCACTATTTACTCCAGTTGGAGTAACATTTGCTAAAAACTACAGTGCTCAGCTGCTTTAGGAAACTATTGGGCCTTTATTCTTTATTCAAACATTTGACCTGTTTTTAAAGATGTATGTCCTCAGTAGGAACCAATGTGCTTTGAGTGAGGTCCACAGATCGTATAGTGAAGCTGGAAAGGTGGTTTTGGTCTTTTTGTGGGATTTATTGACAAAAAGACATTAGTTTGAGGCTCCAACATCTCCTTTTACACCTCTTTGTGTAGATCAGTTCTTTCTTCTACCAGTTCAATATATTAAAGCAACTTTTGTTTGGTAGACTGCAGTAAAACAAAAGGTGAGTTTGTTATCTCGAGTAACAAACCATAAAACACACACAAGGTTTCACGTTTACCGTCTGCACCGCTGAACACGCCGTGCTGGAGCTGTACACACCACTGAATGTCTTTACTCTAAGTGATGCCTTGTGCATCACAATTACCCACACACAGCCCTGCATCAGACCGTGAGTTGACTTTTATGTTCATGTGAATGTAGGCCACAACAGCAGCCGATGACAGCTTAATTGAAGGGATGGGCCCCCCCTGCTGAGGCCCACCGTTTGTCTGAGCTGACAGACGGAGATCAGACCGAGGAGAGACGAGTGGGAACCCTCCGAGTATGCTCAGGTTTCTGGGCGCTGTGAAAAGATTTGTCCAGGCCATTCATATCTGATGGAGTTTCCCATGTTCCGCAATGCAGCGGGGGTTTTGTCAAAGTGTTTGGATAATGAGTCCCTCTATCTTTCTCATCTGTGCACACTAAACAGATACACGTAAGGCTGATGTTGTGTTTAGTTTAGGCCCCCGATGCCACCAAAAACTACATACCTCAGTGTTGAACTTTTCTCTCGTCACATACCAGGGGACGAGGGGGTCCATCCAATTACTTTGGGAAAGGCAGGAAACAGGTGAACAGGTGAAGAAAAAAGAGGAGTGGGGATGAAATGAGCTGGAAAGAGGGGTGACCTCAGTTTAAAAGGGGTTGGGTGATGTGGTTTGAACATGAGCCCCTGAGTTAAAAGGGGGCAGAGGGAGCAGGATAAGAAGGATCAGAGGACCTGAGGAAAGAAGGTTGTACTACTTTGATCGAGGTCAGAGCGGGCAGCAGTCAAGCAAACCGGCGAAGCTTGGGGGCATTGTTTTTGAACATCAAATTTTGAGATAAGGGCTGTTTTTTAACACGAACCTGAGTAATGTGGGTAATGCACTGTTGACCTTCTGAAGATGACAATGGGCAAACCTCTCTCAGGTGCAGAAATGACACGAATGTGCTTTTTCTTCCTGCTGATGAGTAACGCCGCTTCGGTCGCCACACAGTTTAACGGATACAACTGTGACGCCAGCTACCACAGCAGGTTTCCTGGTGAGAATACTACCACATAATATGTTTTCTCTTTCCAATACAGACAATCCTCTGCCGACTGGTGAGAAACACAGGTTAATGCATGTTTTATAACGCTTTATAACACACTGTAATAGTGGTTGTAAGCAAATATAAGGCAAAGGTAATATCATTTTCAAAGGGAATTTTTTATATATTTGTCAACAATTATAACTATTATAGTTATATATAAATAACTTCCTCCTAGAATGCATCTATATCTGATGTTTAAACAGTTAATGGATGCTTAATAACATAACATATGATATGATTACACACATAAACAGGGCTTTCAGTGTGATATAAAGCCTTTAGTAACTGTTTATACGCATGTAAAAAATCAATGTTTATGGATGCATTTAAAACTTAATAAGACAACTTATTACATATGATTAACTATGTTACCAACTACAACTATACTGCAACTATGTTATATTACGTTATGCATTCATCATATCATTCATTCTCCACTTTAAGTAGCTACAACATTAAAATGATGCGTATCAACAAGGTAATTCTGTACGATGACTACATTACTTTTGATTACTTAAAGTATATTTCCTGATAATGCTTTCAAGTACAATTGTTTTACTGTTGGATACTGAGATAATGTCCTCCTACAAAGTAAATAAATAAGATATTTTATAGACGATAGACAAAATAACATAAACACTTCATGGATAAGGACAAAATTTGAGTTAACTATATTCTCTGGTTGCTTCTCTAATTTGGATGATTTTAGCTCCATTAGGTGTCTCATATATTCAGTTGAAAATGTGCATATGAAAGTGCTGATTGTCAAACCTCTTTAACAGCTAGTGAATATCAGTAACTGGACTTCAGGCTCACATGCCTTGCCTTTGAGCAGTGGTTGTGAAGTTAAGTATTTTTTTTCTGAGCCCACTGTATTTAAGTTACAGGTTCTGCTGTGGTTCAATCCCACCAACTAATCAGGGACTATTTTCCTCCTGAGATTTCAGATGAATGCTTGTAGCTTGGCAGCAGTGCTCTGAGTGACAAGGACCGGGGGGGGGCCGTTTCACCAAAACCGCACATTGTTTTTGAAAAAGTGGAGTTCTGGCCCATGCATGAACATGTGATAGCTGCTTAGGACTCAAAAATGTATCTGCAAATGTTCCAATCATTCTGGTAGCAGTGTAATTCCTTCCATTGCTCATGTGTGAATCGTAAACCACTGGTCTAACAGCTTCTTTGTTTGTTGTTTTAAATGCTAACCCTTCTTCCTCTGTCCCTCCAGGTGAGCGGGACATCAGTGTGTACTGCGGGGTTCAGACCATCACCTTGAAGATCAACTTCTGCCCCGTGCTCTTCTCCGGCTACACCGACGCAGATTTGGCCCTGAACGGTCGCCACACTGACGCCCAATGCCGTGGCTTCATCAACAACAACACCTTCCCCACAGCGGTCCTGTTCAGCATCAGTCTCAGCACTCTGGAGGCCTGCGGTAACAGCCTGGTGGTAAAGAATACACGAACACAATGGTGTTAATATAATCAATAAGCCCTTTCACCATGTTGTTTATTGACTTTGGAGAAAGCAAAGTGATGTGGCTGAGATGTTCCTCTCTGCAGGTCAGCACAGCCTATGGGGCCAATGCTTATGGGAACATGTCTCTGGTACAAATTGGGAATGTCTCAGGCTATATCGACACCCCTGACCCGCCAACTATAATCAGCTACCTGCCCGGTTTGTTGTATAAGTTCAGCTGCAGCTACCCACTGGAGTACCTGGTCAATAACTCACAGCTGGCATCGTAAGTTCAAACCAAAAACATTCCCGTCCTAAAGAGAGCTTGACCTTCAGGAGTTACACAGTGGATTTCATATTAAGATTTATTCATTTAATCAGGAATTAATTAAGATTTGTTTATTGTTCTCCTAAACTGCAATGACAATTAAGCGCCTGGTTTTAAAGCCTGAGTGGGTTTGTGTCATATGGTATTCTGAGAACCATTTATTTTAAAATATGGATATTTTCTTAATGATTTAGATGCTAGTTTACATGCATACATTCTTCGAAATGTTCAGTCACGTAAAGCATTGAAATAAATGTCTTGAATCTATTCACAGGTCCTCTGCTGCTATATCTGTCAAGGACAGCAACGGTACATTTGTGAGCACGTTGAGTATGATTCTGTACAACGTGAGTACACAGCTGCATTCAGCTTTTTATATGCAATCATTTCCCTTGCAATGCATGCGCTTTGAAGTTTTGGATTAGGATGTTAACGTTCATAATCTTTGAACCAAGTTAATGTTTTCTTTTAATGAATCTGTGAACTGTTTAAAAAGTATATGACATTTAGACAGTTAGGCGGCTGACTGAAATATCACAAGATTTATCCTCACAAATGATCTTTTTATCAACAAATCCCATGAAAAGATCAGAACCAACAATTAATTGAATGTTGTTGTTTTTTAGTTACAATGAACATGGGCGCAGTGGTTTATTTGGAGTACGTAGATAAAAAGAAAAATAATTGCTGCTGCAAATACTCACCATCATATAATGCACCTTTTTCTGTTTGAGTGATGCTTGCTTAAAAATACAGTGCCCAGCTGTTTTAGGGAATTAATAAACCTTGAAAAATAACGATAAATAATATATTTTTGTGACGTGTTCTGCTAAATTTGATTATAAGAGCATTTATCATATTCATCTGATATGTTAAGATATAGTGAAGTAATGTCTACAGAATGAAGTCACACTCCTCCTGTGTGTGTTATAATCCAAGCTGCTCTTCACTTTGTTTGCGTGGCCGGTCCGACTGCACATGCATGTTTGTGCAATTTGGGAATTTGCACCTTTAAAGAGTTACGTAGAAACAAACGGTACTGAGACAGAAAAAGGTTGGCAGAGTTAGAAAGTAATGAGAGACGGATTAACACGCTCTTGGTTTTGTTGTTTTCAAGGAATTAATTGGCAAGAACAGAAATATGGAAAATCCAACCTTGGAATATTGCCAGCCTTACAATTTCAATGCTCATTATGTCAAGACTAAGCCCCTTTGTTAATTTCAATTGTCTAATTTCATGTATTGAGTGGAAAAACTATCCTTTTTTTCTTCACTTTGACTTTTTTTTCTGTACAGGATTCAACATACAATCAACCTCTCGCTATTCCAATGGCTGGACTGGCTCTGAAAACCAGAGTATTTGCTGCTGTGAAATCCACAAACTTAGACAAACGGTACAAGATACCATTGCGTTTTTTCATTACTTAATCTTTATATCTAAAGATCTAATTTTCAGATCTTGAATATTGTAGCAGACCATTTTTTTCCCATTACAAGAACAACTTCAGTAAAGTAGAGACAATATTTTGGTCAATCACAGCATCTTTCCCACCATATTTTTTACGGATTCAGTCCTTTTTTTCTATGGTTTGCCTACATTCATTATGCTATTATGTTATTATTCTACATGAAGGCGCCAGTCTGCAGCAGAGAAAGCCCTGATCTGTGCTTTCCCATGTGCAGTTAGATCTCTATCCTCCATCCCGGCTCATAGTTTTGTCCCTCTGCAGGTGGAACATCTTGATGGACTACTGTTACACAACCCCCTCAGGGAATCCTAATGATGAACTCCGCTATGACCTTTTCTTTGGGTAATCTCGCTTTTTCTTTTTGTCAAGATGATGACTTGATAAACCACAAAAGGGAGTCATTATCTATTCAGGCTCTCCAAAGGGCTGATCCCGAATGATTTTTTTTCTTCTTCTTAATTATTGCTTGAGCATAATCTAGACGTCAAATCTGCCATTGTCAGTGTGTGCATGTACATATATGTGTATATGTAAGTTGTTCTCTTTTGACACAGCTGCTACAAAGACCCACAGACGACAGTTTTCGAAAATGGAAAGAGTCAGTCGGGCCGTTTTTCCTTCGAGGTTTTCCGTTTTGTTAAACACAGACACCAGAAAATGTCTACTGTGTTCCTGCACTGCGTCACCAAGCTTTGCCGGGCAGACGACTGCATAATGCTCATGCCGGTAAGGGTTAAAATCATGAACCACAGTTTGTTACTTGTGACCTCAATGAGGACTGAAATCTGATGATGTGATTGGCAGATTTGTGGGCGAAGGCGCAGGCGGGATGAAGAGGAGAGCCTTGATTCCCCACCAGCGGCATCTGGGACTGCTGTCATCACAGCTGGACCAATCATCACCAGGAGTGGTATGAATGATAAACGGACTCTTAAAGGAATAGTTTGACATTTTGGGAAAAAGGCTTATTGGCTTTCTTGTTGAGTTAGATAAGAAGACTGGTACCACCCACTGTTAAATATGAAGTTACTACCAGCAGCCAATTAAGTCAGCTTATCATAAAGACTCACTAAACGTCACTTATTAACTTGTTGTATCTTGTTTGTTAAATCTGTACAACAAAATTATTAAAATAAATGTCATATTGTGTTTATTAGTGAGCTTTAGAGGGACCGGTGGGTGGATTTTGTTACCTTTGACAAAGCAGTCTTCAGTCTTCATGCTAAGCTAAGCTAAACGGCTAGAGGTATTAATATTTAACAGATAGCCATGAGAGTGGTATTGATCTTCTTATCAAGCTCTCTGCAAGAAAGCTTAAGACTGGAAACAGGTCCAAAGGTAATACTATCTGGGACCCTCTAAAGCTCACATATTAACTACTTTGCTTTTTGTCAGAGAGTCAGGTGTTGGTCAGTTTAGTTCAACTTTAAGATTGGAAACGGGAATATCGCTTTGCCTGCTCCCTTCTCTCACATAATCTCCTCTACAAACACAACTTGTCATTTTTGCACATTGGTTTTCTTTGCAGATTAAAGAAACCCAATGTGATCTCACAGAAATACGTTGCATGGCCACAGCCTCAATTTAAAGTGCTTCGAAAACGATGTCCTTTGTTGAATGTTTGCTGACCCATCCACCTCCTCTCCCTACCAGCTAAAGTAGTCCTCTGACTGTTTACACTATGTCACTAGCTCTGAGCATTGCATATTCAGGTGGATGCGTTTCATTTGTGTGTCCACCACGTCAAAGGATCCTATTTGTCTTTCCACTGGCATTGTTTCTGTGGTGCTGACATATAATTTTAACACAGGATGTGTCACCACCAAGTGATGCGCTGTTAAGAGGTCGTGGTCATTATTTCCCGTATTTCTCTGAGATCAGACTGGGAAACCTGATATATCGTGTCAATAGTGGGCTTTAGAGGTGCTGATAGACAGATTTTTCTTACCTCTGGACAGAACCAGGCAAACTGTTTTCCTTGTTTCCAGTTTCTACGCTAAGCTAAGCTAACCGGTTGCAACTTCATATTTAACCAGACAATTATGAGAAAGGTATCAATCTTCTTATCTAGCGCCAAGCAAGAAAGCAAAGAGGTGTATATCCTAACATGTTGAACTGTTCCTTTAAATTAAATGAATAGATCAATACATCCACAGAGCCATTTAAATATCTGCAAAATATTATAATAAAAACGATTTAAAATATTTTTTCCAGATGAAACTCCTGTCAACAACTCCCAACTTGGTAAGCTCCCTTCTGCAATGTTACAAAACAGAGAAAGGTTTAAAATATCACGTGTGACTAAGTCCTGACAGGTGTAGAGATACTAGATACCCATGGAAATTGATGATTTAAGGCTACAACTAAAATAAACAAACTCGGATCATGTTAAGCCAAAGAACATGTCTGTTTTAAGTTTCTGCTTTTTTCCGCCCCACCAGCATCGGGAGACCCCACCCATCCATTAAACCCAGTGACCAGTGCGCTGATCTCAGGCGTGGTCATCCTGGGTGGGGTCAGTGCGGGCTTCTTCCTGCTGTCACTCCGCCTCCTGCAGAAGTCCCGCCTCCCAACAACCACAGCCTCAGGTGTTTGGAACACCACCTTTAAATGAGTAAACATCTGTAAATAATGAGATCCTGGTATTGACAACATATGCAGAATGTTTTCACATGTTGGGTACACAAACTGAACAAAGTGTACATGTGTGCTTCTCTTTGTAAACGCATTATTAAATGTGTATATTTTATTGTTGTAGGTGTTGTGTATTTATTGCCTTCAGTACCTCATTATTCTTGTTATTCATTGTCATCTATTATTTTGACAATCACAGTATTTACAGAAGATTTAAACTCGTAAAAGTTAATTTTTAGATGTTGTGATTAAGTTGTGTTTGATGAAAATTACTCATTTCGACAAATTTGGTCTTATTAATTACAAATGTGGCTAATATCAGATTCCAGTGTGAACTGGTCACGGTCCTGAACTGACCTGCATGACTCTGCAAAAGAACAAAAACAAAGATGCCACAGGCAGCACCCTGTCGTACGAAAGAAAACACGGAGGCCACTGAAGTCGGGGTTTATAGTTTCATGTATAAATTGATTTGCAGTGGAAGCCAGCAAATTCGTGGGCAGACTATAACACAGACGATGAGAAAGAGAGACACATTTTTCAGTTTGTCTTTTTGTGGAGCAATGACTTCTACTTATGTACGGAGGTCGCAGAGTCTTAGACAGAACTGGATCTAGAGAGACGTAAAAGTCGTGTGAATTCCGATTTGACTGTTTAGACTGAGGTCACATTGCAAACAAATATCAGATTCCATGTGATTTGTACTGTTCACTGTTAAATAAAATTATGAAAAAAAATCTGATTTGGGCCACTTTTGCCTTCAGTGAGAATATAATGTACTCATACAAGGAATTTTACTCTTTTGTTTTGTTTCATAGAAATTAATGTATTTTTGTTGTTGTTTTTCTGTCTGTTCTGTAGTCTGTACATTGCCGGATTGATAGTTGTATTTCTATTTTTTATTTATTCAGTCAACCCTCTGTCATGTAGTGATTGTGACATATGTTGGGACCCCCTCAAAATGAGATGGTGCATCTCAAGGGTTTTTATCCTAATACATATATTTAAAACAACAGATATAGACAAGCAGCTAAAAACAATTACAACAAAACTGGACAAGAGTTATATATTAACATTTACATACTATGTCCAAATAACCTCTCCAGAGTGCAAAGGGTACTGGAATAGATATGGGATGATTAATGTAACAAACTGCTTTATATTCATGAGGTAGGTGATTATGACAGTATATACAGTGTGCTCATATCTGACCATGATGTTATTTACATGTGTAAAAAACAACTGTTTGTATTCAAACAATAAAAAGATGTACTTTACAGGTACAAAAAAGATAAAACTTAAAACATAAAAATCTGACGTTTTGGAGATTTCACATGACAGCAACCACATGTAATGCTTAATATCGATATAACAATACATTTCATTTGTACACTTGTATGCACAACCTGACTTTGACCAGTCTTTACAATATCAGTAAACACAACCTACCGTCTCCTAATGGCTGCTTCATTGATGTCCAATCTCCAGGAAAATAAACAAAATACAAAACAATGCCAGAGCTCCTTTGATGACTGCAATGAATTAGTCTTTCAATTTTTGCCGTATTGATTTTCTTTCCCGATGACCTATATAAATGTCTGTTGGCGGCAGTTGCATCTCATGTGTCTGACTCTGCGGCTGTTTTTGTGACCCACACAGCTCTGCTGCTTTCACTGTTTCTTTATCACTCTAATCCTTCATTTCAACAGCCATTTTGTGATGTATTCAGTGTCCACAATGGCCACAGATAACTGAAAGGAGAGGAATAATCGCTATCATTCCTCCCCTCTCAATTTACTACCAGCGATAATTGATTCCACCTCCCAAAATGGAAATGAGGCTGGGATTTGGCTTTGAATGTCGAAGCCTAGTTCAGGAGAGTCAAGAGCAGAGAAAACATATTCTTTAAAGACCTGAGTGAGGAATGTATATGAGGGTGTGTGATTGTGTGTGTGTGTGTGTGTGTGTGTGTGTGTGTGTGTGTGTGTGTGTGTGTGTGTGTGTGTGTGTGTGTGTGTGTGTGTGTGTGTGTGTGTGTGTGTGTGTGTGTGTGTGTGTGTGTGTGTGTGTGTGTGTGTGTGTGTGTGGGCGAGGGGACAGAAGGACTCATGGAATGTTTAAGTGTCAACTCGTGACAATAATGACGTGTCTTGTATTTGATATCGTGGTTTCATACTTTTGACAAAACATTGACGAGGACGCCCATCCTCCACCTTGACCCCGATCAGAGCTTTCTCTTCCCAGGTGGCTCACATGACAAGATCAGGTTTCCAACTGTCCTTCAATCATTTCCTTTCAGTTAAACCTCAACATTAATCTAATTAATTCAATTTAAATGTATAAGACATTCACAAGGCTTAAACATGATAAATGTGAGTCACATCGTCAGTCTGACGAACATGTTTGTTTATGATAACATGTCACGAGATTATGAGCACCAAAAGCCATCATATAAAAGGTCTATTGTGTCAAATCGGGACATTGAACCACCATACACTGGAAGACAACAGGTCCTCTTTCCTCTATTAGGCCCCAGGTGAATAGAAACCATACATACTTACTTTATTATGTTTCATATTAGCAGGGAAAGAGGGCTGCAAGAGGGCTGCAAGTCACAAAGCTATATATGGACATTGTTGAAGCATGTAACTTTGAAGGGGACTGTGTTGGGTTTCATCATTTGCCTCAAGGAGAGGACGAAAAAAAGTGAATTGTTTACGCAAACTGAGGCAGCCCCACCAAAGTACCATTGACCCTGTTTCCATCCAATCCTAAAACAGCGTTGTGACCAAACGACGGTGATGCTCACCATATATAAACCAGCCCACTGTTCTCTTATCCTAAACCAGAAAAGAGACTGAGGAGGTAAGATCCAAGAGGCAAACAAAGTATCCTTCATTGACAGGATTAAGCATCTTAATGTGGACCCATATTGTTAAGATGGCCTCACTGGACTTCTGCATTGTGCTGGATTTATTAGGAGTTTCTGTGTTTGACAACTGTGTGTTTGCTTCAGCTTTTTCACAGAGGGCAGAGCAGTGAGATGGCTTTATTCAGCTTCCTCATCCTGACCTCCCTGTGTATTGCGGGCCGCGAGGCACTCAACATATCTGACTATGCGTATGCCAGACGACCAGATAAGATTAGCGTGACCTTCAATCTAAATTACTTGTTTTGGACTGAAGGGGTCGAATTGATTTTAGTTCAGATAGGGAGGCCATATTGACTTTAGTTCACACCTTGTATTTAACTAACACACTTGAAAGACTTTTAATTGCACTGGTAAATGTGTTTCCAGAGGAAATGTATACGTAATTTTTAATATGAAATAGATTTTATATGAAATTGGTCCACCTGTAACACAATCATTTTTCAGAACAACTCCTCTGTCTGAATTTTGGTGCTGAACAGTAGTTTGGATTGGCACGATTCTTTTCAGATCGGTACCTTTAGATAACGATGCCATCTTATCACCATCAGAATACACTGATATAGCTGTGGTGTGTGGCACATCTGCCATCGACCTGGCGATTCAAATCTGCCCAGTTGTCTACACCGGATACAACTCAAGCTCACTGATCCTCAACAGCATCCGGGACAATGTGGACTGTCAGGGGACGCTGGACACCTCAGTGAACCCTCCTGTGGTGAGATTCAGCTTCCCCGTCAGAGAGGGAAATGCCTGTGGGAATGCCTGTCTTGGTGAGTATTGTGTCAATAAAGTGTCCTGATTTCATGTTATGGTGGTGGTTGTGAGACATGTTAACCTTTAGCTGAGGAGAGCTAGAGCAGATCTAGGAAGCTGAAAGAGTATCTGAGTTCTGTGTTTTGAGCCAGATAAGAAGATATGAAAAGAGGGTTGAAATAAGAGAATTTCAGACTGCTTTGTGACTTAATATAACACAGACACAAGCAATCCCACAACTCTCCTTATCTGAAGAGAATGAAAGAGTTGTTCCACTTCCTTTAACTGTGATTTCATCACTGCCGCCTGCTGTGCCTGAGACGTTGGCCAACATTTATTTTTAAGCATTTCTGAAATAATCATGCTTCCATTAAATAATTCCTCAGACCACGAGCGTGCCAGGAGCGGGAATATTCTCCGACTTCTCCAACATCTAGACGGTCAACGTCAGCGGGGTGGTCCGATCCTTTGACCCCACCACCGGGATGATCACCTACAACGCAGAGCTCAAGAATTACTATTCATGTGCTTATCCACTGGAGAATGTCATCAACAACACCGAGGTGGAAGTGTAAGTGTACAGTTATAGTATGTGGGTTCAAAAATACACTAAGGCTTCTAACATTTCACTTGTATGCCAAGTGTGATCTCATTCTTTTCTTCCTCATAGGTCATCCTCCTACATTGCGGTGAAGGACAACAATGGGAGCTTCATCAGTACCCTCAGCATGGCTTTGTACCAGGTGCCAACTTACATACTACTCATGTCTTCATTTATGCCCGGCACCGACACAAAGTCATCAATCTTATGTAAGAGAGTGTATAGTGTTTTTATATTCCCTTCCTTCGCCATCAAGGTGCAGGTGGTTGCATCAAACTTGACATCACAGTAAGAACCATTAACATTATATGACACCTGCAGCCTTTTCTTTGTCTGGTTCAGACCTAAACCTCGAACTTAAATTAAAAAATATTTTTTAGCTGTAGGAAATTTGGTAAACAGCTTTCACTCTCAAGTTTGCGAGTAGGAGTTAAAGTGAAGAAGTTATACTTTCATATTTCCAAAGTTTAACTTTTAGCAGGTCGATCAATGCAAGTCCTAGATGTCGGTCATGGATGGCTGCATTCATAGAAACCCGGGTGGATGTCTAAATTTAAAGACATTTTCCATCTCCTTGTCTCCAACCATGTGACCATGTCTTGATAGATTGTAAATTTGAGGATTCCACCTGTGACCTGGAGTCTCTGACTCGGTGATGGGGACCTCATTGTGTCTCCACAGGTTCTTTGTTCTT